GAATTGACCGACTGAAGGTGACTCGTGAACGACAGAGGGCTAAGACTTCTCTTAGATGAACTAAATGTCGAGCAAGTTCTCTATGAATTCCAGTATTGTGATAGAATAAGATTCAACAAAGTAAATGACAATGTAAAAAGATTGTTCAAAAGTAAACAAGGTACAAGTAAAATATTTAAAGGACACAATTGAAAAGAAAGGAGTTTGCATTGAAATAAATATGGTGATTCACGTACATTCACACTCTTGAACTTTTTGCTTCCTTACGCTTGGAAATATAAAGTTTTACAAGTGATTTCAGTACAAAGTGAACACCTTTGAATCCTACATTGTACCCTCTTATTTACAGTAGTTACGTAATAACTGAACATGCAGTTCAATGAAATACTAAGTTGACATGGCTTAATAGAAACTGTCTCCTAAGACTTAGCCACATAGTTGGCGCCTTGATTCAGAAAACTTCTTGCAACCGCTGTAATATTCAAATTTCAAAATCTATCCCGCCCATAAATTATGCTTTCGACATCAACCCTTACCGTGAACAGATAACCCAAATTCTCTAATTCTTGAATTCCACTTGTGTCGACGAACTAGAGTCGACTAGATCGTTATCTCCTTTGTCGACTAATTGCTTTTTTTTTTGTTTGTCGATTTCTCATTGATTTTTATAAGAACTTTCCAGCTATCATTTTCTTGACTCTGGTCCTCTTAAAGTTCCTACTCCTGGAAGGAACTTTCCCTTCAGTTCATAGGGTTTCCATACTAACAATGCAATAGATTCCTCAAAGAAATTTTAAGGTAACACATACCTTAATGTATAAAGCACAAGATTCATGACTAATAGCGAAGAAGAAGGAAAAAATGGGTGATATGGTTTCCTTGTGAAGGAAACGACGCTACTATCAATAATTGATAATTAATTCACTTATATATGGATAAACAATTTCACAATGGTTAACACTATCCATCGTATAGATAAGTATTTATTTATTACAAAACACATCACAATGATTAATTCAAAGCACCATAGCGATATCCCTTTTATTCGTGAGTTTTAAAATAAATAGAAAAAAAAGGTGAGCCTTAACGTTGAAGGAATAAAATATTTTATGGTGTTGAGGTTCGAATCCATGAAAGTTTGATTGTATCACCATAGTTGGTACATCGACCACTGTTATATATAAATAATTTTTAATCAGTAAACAAAATAAATATGTCAGTGCCTCATTTTAGAGATGTTACCACAGTGTAAGGAAGAACCGTGGTGAATATAGTGTTGTTAAATGCGCATTTTGTAGTAGTGCATGTTGTTTAAGAAAAAAAAAGTGTTATTTGCATAAGTGGGATCTTATGCAAAGGTTAAAAAGTATGATTAACTTTTTCCTTAGTTTCAAACCATATTTTGTTTGAGAAATATCAATTTTTCATATTGTATTAGAAAGGGCCAATATATATTGCAAAATATAAAATGGTTTCTCTTAATGTAAATAACAAGTCTCTTTCATGATGAAAACATTGTCCAATTTATATTTTTAGTTGCATAGACTAACCATACTTTCATTTTTGAAGTATTTTTTGGTCTTATAATTAGATAAAAAACAAATATGAGTATATACACTATTACAGTTATGTAACTGATATTGATTTTCTCAGTGTTCCTTACATTGGTGAAAAGAAGACAATCTCCAACTCCATAGAAGATTTGAAGTAATTGTAGTAATACATTTGTATAGAAGTGGGTAATTACTTCTGAACATTCAATATTTAAAGGAAGTGAGGCTGAAAAATTCCCAAGGTTATTCAATTGTAGTTGAAGTCTAAGATAATATCGCATTCTTCTCCACAGGATGCAGGCTCTGAAGACGAAGGCACAAAAGATTACCGATGCACTGGATACCACGCCGTCCAAATCGGCGACACTTTCAACTCCAGTCGATATGTCATTCAGAGCAAGCTTGGTTGGGGCCATTTTTCCATAGTTTTTTTTATCAAATTTTACTTGAAAATTTTTGTTTATGTTTTTCATTGTGTCGTCATTTTTTGCAGTTAATTGGTGAAATAGTAAGAGAAGTAAAAGTTGTTGTTGATATGCAGAAAAGGAAAGCTGAAATGGCTAAACGTTAATAGAATATAATTAAGGGTTAAATATGTTTTTGATTCCTATAAATTACAAAAAATTGTTTTTAGTCTCTATAAAAAAACATGGTATATTTTAGTCTTTACAAAATTATTATGCACGTAGTTTTAGTCATAGTTGTTAAACTGATGTGTATTTTTGAATGATATTTTGTAGACTTCTTTAGAACATTATAAAAAGTTCCTTGAAAAAAAAGGAATTCAAAATTTGATTTGTAAGTCGAGATTTTCATTACTTTTATCAATATCTTTTAAAATTTTAAAAATTCATATTTAATTAATCTCATTTTAAAAAATTCTAAAATTTGAAAAAAAAACATTTTATAGTATTTTAAACACGTATGAAAAAAATTATTGAAAAATTTAAAAGTTTAAGAGTAATTAAATAATTTTCAAATTTTTTAAAGAAAATAACAAGGACTAAAACTGCATGAATAAAAATTTTGTAAGGACAAAAATATGTCATTTTTTAAATAGGAACTACAAGTGAAATTTGAGATATTTATAAGGATAAAAAACATATTTAACCCTATAATTAAATATAATAAAAAGTAATACAAAAATATATTTAAAATAGATTTAATAAATTTTTTTCTTCAAAATACTTGGTTTATCTGAAATATAAAAAACTATATTACAATTTTAATCTCTAATTTTATTTGATTCACGAAAATAGTCTCTCTATTTTAAATTTAAAAAGTTTTGGCCCGCTCTCACGTTTTTAAAAGATAATTGATGATATTTTTTTGGTTTTTAACTTATACTTTTATTTATATATGATTTTTTTTTTGTTTTGAATATTGTTATTGAAGATTAAATTATACGTTTGATTTTAATCTTCATGTTGAATTTACATGAGTATATTTATATTGTTTATTAAATTTTGACGGGGTACTGTCATACATTTTAGATTTGTAAAATTTGTAAATATGATCTAATAAGAAGATTTTAAAATTGAAATTTAACAAGAAGCTGTCATACATTGTAGGTTGTAAAAAATGTAAATATGATATAATTAGAAAGTTTAAAAAATAAAATTTGACGGGAAACTGTCATACATTTAAGGTTTGGAAACATGGGCTAATATCTAAGATAGGTTTAATAAATTTTTAAAATTAACTCATTTGGATTCAATTGAGATTTGTTAACTCATTTGGATTCACGGGTAGATGTGAATCTATCTATGAGATACCAACTATTGACAGATTATTTTAATGTCTATCTTTTAACCATTTCTTTTATTGCTGTTTTATATAATACCCACTTAAAAATGTGGTTCTACAATTTATTATAAATATAAATCAATGCTTAAAAGTTGGTACATATTATTGGTATATAATTGAAACTACGCGAATATTTATGAATTGCAAAATAAATTACATTATGTTTGATATTCCAAACACATGAATTAAAATTTGATAAATGATTATAAGTTATAATTATATTAATGTTATCCAACTGAAAACATGATATCATACTTAACAATTTAGTCATTAACACGTGTAATATGAATCTAGACGGGACCCGAGCGACAACAAAGATTTCTTATTAGTATTAAGAAAAAGTGATAAATGAAAGAGAGAGAATAATAATTTTACCAAACTATCCTAGTTGCTTATTGGTGTATTCAAATTATCATTAATATAAGGTGACATAAATAGTAAATTAGAGTATTAATTAGAGGATATAATTGAAAGTTAAAAACTAAGATTGCATTGAAAACTAAAAGCAATACTTCTTTTGGGGCATTTTTTTTTACAAACGCGACATTTACTTTGAGACGGGGGAGTGTCCTTTATTGTCTGAATCTAACTTTTTGTATTCTATAACATCTATCAAATAATAGCAAATTATTTTTACGATGAGAATACGATACGATAATAGATTAACAAAGTTTGTTTGATAAATGATCATCTCATATTTTCTACAAAACACACCACAATCAGAGAATAAATACACATCCCCGCCTTGTATTTGTGCATTTCAATAGTGATAAGCCGTCACTTCAATTTAGAGTCACCAAAGACATACCTCTCACCGCTCTAATATTTAAAACGAATACTCTCTTGCAATATTCTGAAAATTAAAGAGTTGTCAAGCTTGAGTATCGTTCACACTCGTTTGACAGTGAATGAAAGATATATTTTATCAACTTCAAACTGAAGACTGGTGAAGACTTAGAAGTTATGGAGTACTTTTCACTGTTATGTAACAAAGAGTCCGATTGAAGATGATGCGAAGATTGCAAGATCCATCGAAGATATTATCAATATGTTGTAACATCTTGAACTTCCCGTTTATTAGGATATTTAATTGTAAATTTACGTTAATAATTATCTATGTAATGTTGAGTGTTTTAATTTAATGTCACATTGTTGTGGTTTCTAGATCTTTCTCATGCTATCTTTATTTTTGTTTTGAAGTATCTGAGCTATTTTTGGATATGCATTTCCAGAATGTACGTGCTACAAGTTTGAAGATACAACTCCAAATTAGAATTATGTATAATGAAGTGATTCACTCGTTTACATTAATTTTTGTGTGGAATAAATGTGTTCGAAAATATATCTCTGAACCCTAAAAATATCTTTTGATTTTTAATAAGAGTTTGTGGAAAGTCATAAGAATAAGAAAAGAAATTTCCAAAATCATTACAAAGCCGAAAAAGAAATCTAACTTGAGGCCCAATAAAGTCCAATAAGGAAGAGAAGAATTGGAAGTCGGCAACAATAGAACCCGCACAACCGAATAAAGCAGAAAGAAACGGCGTCGTATCAACCATCTCCGTCGTTTCACACCACCATCACCACCACCTTCAAATTCAAATTCAACTTCAACTTCAAAACCCTAATTTCTTCAATTCAATGACACCACGGACGGATGACCTAATCGCCACCGACGACGATGACAGCGACGACGACCGTCTCCAAGAAGACATGGCCGCCGTCGCGCGAGCCTGTAAGTTCCAAGTAGACGAATTTCCATCTGAAGAAGATCCTCTTTTGGCTTCTGGAGATGAAATTCCGTATGAAAAAGATCCTCTTTTGGCCGCTGGCGACGCTATTGTCCCATTCACCGCCACTGCGGACTCTGACTCTGATGGACAGAGTGATCGTGAATGTCTCAATAGAGTTAAAAGTCTCTGTCAGGATATTGATTCTATTCCTCATCTGCCGCCGATGACAGCTGCTTCTGATGATGACGAAGATGACCTGGAAACAGTTCGCGCCATCTTCAAACGGTTTTCCGCTTATGATAAAGGTAGGTTACCGTGCATTTGTGTGGTAATTTGTTTGTTATGAAGGGAATAAATGCAGCTTGTAGGTTAAGTAATCATCGAATTTTTAATTTTTTTAGTTCATGTGTATGGTGATAGGAGCTTAACATCGTTTGTTTTCCGTTTTCTGTTTATGCATGTAGAAAAGTTAGTTTTTTTTTTGAAAAAAATCAGATTTTTTTTTTGATTGACATGAATAGCAAGCTATGTAGCACCGAGGTGTGTTAGTGTTGGTGTCTGCTGTGAGTATGTTTAATTTATTCACTTTTTTTCAAATTATTACCGGGGTTGGTGTTGACATTGACGTGTCAGTTTTCCGGTGTCTGTGCTTAAATAGCAAGTCTTTTTATTAAAATAACTTGGCAGTGACTAATATGTGGTTCCCTTGAAGGTGGAAGGGAAGCATGGGCTGGGGGGGATCAGACCCCGAGTTTAATTGCTGAGAAGGATGTTGTCCAGAGCCCCATTTCTGGCAGCTCAGATGCTGGTGAATTGTGTCCTGATTCTCAATGCCTTGATAATGACACCAATTTGCGGATAGATACATGTGTTTTTGACGAGACTTATGAAAAAGATGCTGGATTAGCTTCTCAAGTATTGAATGAAAGATCAAGATTTCCTCCGTCGGCTCAAGCTTTTGTTGATGCCCTCTCGAAGAATAGAGCTCTCCAGCAGTTTCTTAGAAGTAAGTTGATTGAAATTGAAGCAAAAATTGAAGTAAACAACAAGCTAAGGGAAAAAGTTAAAATCCTTAAGGATTTCCAGGTTTCATGCAATAGAAGAACGGGGAATGCTTTATCACTGAAAAAGGATCCGCGTGTGCAGTTAATATCATCCAAGAAGTCTTTTGCAACAAAAAAGTCAAAGGTTTGTTGTGTAATGCTTCTATGGTTATGTGAATCTGAGTCGTTACTCGTTTCATATTAATATTCATTCATTCTGATTTCACTGTTGCTGTTCGGATATTTGTTTATTTTTAATATGGTATATGACTAATATTACTCAAATTTTTCCTTCATTTGGAACATAATTTTGCAAGTTATAAGAACTATAGTTAATTTCTGTTTTAATAGATGCTTATATTATGTCCATACAGTCACTGGCTTTATAGGAGAGTAGATGTAGAGATCACTCTTCCTAGTCTTTGATTGGATTTATGAAATCCAGTTTTTGCTTATTTTGATAATGTGAGTTTCTGTCTGTTGGGACTTGAGGGTTTCGAATCTGTTGCAAGTTGCAACAATATTTCTTCGGTAGCTTAGCTATGACGGATATACAGGTGGTTTTTGTGCTCACCTCAATGGTAAACATTGGCCGATATTGCGGGTTTTCCCACCATAATCCGCTATAGCCGCGCCGCAAAGCGGCCGGTATGGCGGGATTTTGGCTCTCCGCCATGGACCGCCATCCGCCATCGACAACACTGGTACAAATATTGTGATAACTTAGTAATAAGAATGATTGCATTTGACATTCTTGGTATTGCCAATGTAAGTATTGGATGGTAATCCTTGATTTGTTTTTTCTTTTGGCAGAACAATAATAAGAAAGTGTCTGCAATGTGTTATGGCCCAGATGAGAATTCTCGTGTTGCTAACTATAAGATGGTATTGGAAAGATTTCCACTTTCATTGGATCGAAAAAAGTGGTCAAACAAGGAAAGGGAGAAACTTTCAATAGGAATTAAGCAACAATTCCAAGAAACAGTGTATCAAATTTCAGTAGATAGAATGGGGTAATATCAGATTTATTTTGTCATATATTATTAAATGTTCTATTTGTCATTGCAATTTGTAATGCTTCCCATTATTGAGGGCTGATTTTTTAACTTATACTGGCAGTTCAGAGTGCTCACCTGGAGACATAATTGATTCATTTAAAGGTCTTGAAATCACACCAGCGAGGATTAGAGCATTTTTACCTAAAGTTAAATGGGATTCATTGGCTGCTATGCATATTACTGGCCGTACTGGTTCTGAATGTGAATCAAGGTATGCATTTCTTAATTGACGAACTTCTGTTTTTCTATGCAAGTAAAGATGGTTATTGATGATAAATCTTTGTGCTTTATGGTTTTGTTATTGCTCCATTCTAATGCTTCATATCATAGCTCATCTTATTAATATGAGAACTACATCGACTCTGTTATTGAGTTACTGTGATTTGAACATTTTGTAATGATATTTTATATGTTTAATAGATGAGAGATGCTAACATAGAGTTTGAAGTTGGTGAAAGAAAATATTAAGATGGTACTACTGTGTGATTTAGTCACACCATGTATACCTGCTTACTTTTTGATAGGACCCTGAGTCTGGGCCTTAGTATATTAAGAGTTAGTTAGGACATCTCCTTAATCTTAGGGGATATTCTGTTATAAAAGAGAATGAAAAAGATTAAAGAAGGCATTTAGAAAGTTTGTTTGAAAACAGGACTTAAGAGATGATTCTCTCTTGTTTAAGAGCTTAGCTCTGGATTAGGAGTTCATAGAACGCTGGTTTACATTTTCTTGTTCCATTTTCACCATTGTAGAGCCTTGAGCTCACCAATTTCATTTAATAATATACAGTTTCTTTATCTCGATTTTACGGTTCTATCACTCTTTGCTTGGGTCGGGGAGATTGTGACTAGATAAGGTTCAAATTGAATTGAAATAGGATCCTGCATAAGATGATATAGTGTATATGTAGATTTCATACCTGATCAGTAAATTAGGGTTGGGTATTGAAAATGTTCTATAAATCCCATACGATTCCTTTAGGGAGGATCAACTTGTCTCTTATTATGCACGATTGATGTGCTTTCAGATGCTTTAATTATAAGTGTTCATATTATTTGTATATTCAACACAGTTGTTTGACTATTGTTTCATGTTTACTGCCTTTCTATGAAGAATATCTTCCTGGGCATTGCAGACATCTATGACGATCACCATCACAGACAGTTTATCCTTTTTGGTTTTCAAAAAGGGTTCAAGATCAACATAGATCATGCAGGTGGGACTGTACGCGAAATGATTTTTATAATGGTGGTGCTTAACATGTCTGTGATGATTGTCATCACAGATGTCTGACACTCCTTTCTTGAATCTAATGTAGACCATAGAATAGCATATATCTATGAATTGATGGATTCTCATACTTATATTTGATAAATTCTTGTAACGTTTGCAACCATAGGTGGTTGAATTGTGAAGACCCTTTGATCAATCATGGCTCATGGACTGGTGAAGAGGATAGGTCTCTTTTGATTACTGTCCAAGAGACGGGCATCAGGAATTGGTTTAACATTGCTGCATCTTTGGCCACAAACAGGACTCCATTTCAATGCTTGGCTCGATACCAAAGGAGCTTAAATTCTTCGATGATAAATAGTGAATGGACCGAGGAAGAAGATGCTCAACTTTGTTCTGCTGTTGCATATTTTGGTGAGAGTAATTGGCAGTCTGTGGCTTCTGTTTTAGAACGGCGGACGGGAACTCAGTGCTCAAATAGGTTGGTTTACTCTTTGTTGTAACTTTGTACTGTATATATATATATATATATATATATATATATATATATATATATATATATATATATATATATATATATATATATATATATATATATATATATATATATATATATATATATATATATATATATATATATATATATATATATATATATATATATATATATATATATATATATATATATATATATATATATATATATATATATATATATATATATATATATATATATATATATATATATATATATATATATATATATATATATATATTCTTTTTTTTTTTTTGCATTTTGATAACAATCCATTATCTGAAATCAGAAAATTTTCGATGGTAGCCTATCACTTTAATAATGTACATATTATTAACTAGTTTAAAGCCTAGTCATAAGTATTTCATTTACAACTGTTTGTGATTTAAAATCTTCTATTTTTGATATTTTCTCAAGGGAATGTCATGTGGGCTTTCAGGTATAAGTGACTAACAAATAATAATTAGATTTCAGCTCAGTATAGTTTGAAACGCAGCTCAGTATAGCTTGCAGATGTTATGAATGGAAGATTTTGAGAAGTATTAAGCCGTTGTAACTTCAGCTTCAAGCTCTTGCCATTCTTTTAGTAACACACTAGCAATCTACCCTGTTGTATCAGTTGTTGATTTATATTATGGTTTTAACTGGGAATGTATGGTTACAACTATTAAATGAATTGCTTTGTGTATAAATTATTGTGTACTTCTAGAAGTTAGTCTATGAGGCCTAGCATTAATTTCCGCCTTGTTTACCTCAATGCACTTAAACTGCATTTGGAATAGGCTTAGCTCTAATTCCTTCCTTTATTTCTCTTGCAAGGCTGCTTTATGGAAAATTGAAATGAGAATGATATGCCTATTCTTGATAATGAAATGACACTAAATTAGAAATTAACTTAGTCACTGATATAAAAAACCGAAACACGGTCAAGTATGCTTGCTTTCCGGAGTTGGCATTGATGTTAAGTATATTGGAGAACAAGAGATGTTTTTTATTTGCTGCTGCATTTTGTGTACTAATGCAACAAATTATAATTGATGTAGATGGAAAAAATCAATTTGTCCTGTGAGGAAAGGAAGCTTTACACCCGAGGAGGATGAACGCCTTACAGTAGCAGTTGCGCTGTTTGGAAGGAAATGGAATCAAATAGCTAAATATGTTCCTGGCCGGATTCAATCTCAGTGTAGAGAAAGGTAATGGATTTTATTATGAACGTTTGGGCAACGCTGACTTTTTATGGTTTAAGGCTCTTGTTGATTTTCTTGAGCATTCTTTTGCCAGATACCTTAATAGTTTGGATCCTTCTTTGAAATGGGGTGGATGGACGGAGGAAGAGGATTTAAGATTAGAAGCTGCAATCACCAAGTATGGATATTGCTGGTCTAAGGTGGCTGAAGATGTACCTCCCCGCACTGATTCTCAATGTCGGAAGTATGAGTCTAGCTTTAACTATGATGAAAATCTTGGTTATAAAAATATCAGTTTCATTATATTAGTATATACTTATACATATTTGTTTCATTGATCAGGAGATGGAAAGTGATATGTCCTGAACAAGTTCCTCTGCTTCAAGAAGCAAGGAAGAGGCAAAGGTCTCTTCTTGCCAGGAACTTTGTTGATCGAGAATCAGAACGTCCAGCCCTTACACTGAATGACTTCATTCCTTTACAAATGTTAGTTCCACCATCTGATGTTGATGCTGAGAAACTCCCAAGGAAGCGGAAGAGACAGTCGCGGTACCCCTCTCTTTAAACTCCCTTTCATTTTCGCATTGGTTCTTAACTTACATATATATTTGATGCCAGCTTTGTTTGAATTTTCCAGAAAATTGTGCTGGCTGGCCATTTAGTGTTTGAAATTGGAAGTTGCTTTATACCTTTGTTTCTAACTCCCGTTCATTGCATGCAGCGGCCTTTGCAAGGAAGAGAGGTCCAAGAAACATGGAAAGGAGACTGAACTTTGTACTGGGGAAGCACGAGGTGCAGAGCCCAAGAAAGAGAGACCTAAAAGACATGCGAAAAAGAAATCATTTTATCCCGAGGATGTAGAAGATATAGTTCCCGAGAAAGAGAAGCCCAAAAGACATTTGAAGAAGGTTCGAATTTGTCCGGAGGAAGTACAGTATATAGCAGAATATAGTGACAGGGTCAAGACTTCTGGTGGTGGCGGTGTTCCATTCTCTGCACCAAGCAATGTTCCCAAGAAAATGAGATCTAAAAGAGGTCCTAAAAAGTCTCAGCCCAAGGAAGTAGATAATATAGCATGCAGCGACGAGGCCAAGACCTGTATCAAGAGTTCAGAAAAGCAAGATGAAGACAATGTAACACTTGCATGCTTTTTGCGCAACAAATCAAAGAAGAAACTAACGAAATGTACCAAAAATGCCAGCAAGGGTTTGTCTTCCTCTAGGACAAAAATTGTATCTAAGAAGGTTCAAAATCATATCCCATCTGGTGAGCAAGACAGGTTGTCATGTGGTATTGGTGGAACTAAAGATTTGTCAATGCAAACAGAAAATGATTCTAGCAGACAAGCAAGAAAACCAGAAGGTACAAATGCAACTCGAAAATCAGAGGGTGCACACAATTTGAATGGTGATGGCGATGCTGTACCTCTTAAGTTCTATGTTAGAAAGAAAACAAAGAAATGGAGTCAAGCTACTGAAGAACGCCATACTTGCTCTCCTTCCAAATTGAAAAAGGGATCTGTATTACTCCATGGAAACAAGCCAACCATCATTTCTAACGAAAGTGAACCATCGATGTCAAAAGTTGTTGAAGAGGAGACTGTTTTACATGGTGGTGTGGCTGAAGCTGAACCCACAAACAGCAATGTTGTTGAAGAAGAGACTGTTCTGCGTGGCGGTGTTGCTGAAGCTGAACCCACAAACAGCAATGTTGTTGAAGAAGAGACTGTTCTGCGTGGCGGTGTGGCTGAAGCTGAACCCACAAACAGCAATGTTGTTGAAGAAGAGACTGCTCTGCGTGGTGGTGTGGCTGATACCGAACCCCAAACCATCGAAGTGGTTGAAAAGGAGACTATTATGCACGGTTGTGTGGCTGATACTGAACCCACAAACATTGAAACGGAAGAAAATAATGAACTGCTGCTTTCCTTCCTGCAAAAACAAGACAAGGAGATGGCAAAGACGGTACAAGATTCGGAAATGAAGTTGTTGCTTTGATGATCCAATTCACCTGGGCTGGTAACCTGTTTGTTTTCCAACTCCTAGGTATGTATAAATACAAAACAGTTGATTAAAACCTGTGCTCGGAAATTGTGGAATGGCAAGACCATATCATAAGGGGAAGCTAGCTGGTGGGTAACTGTGAAATCTGATAGCCATGATCATGAATTTAATCCAGATTGCCTGCAGTAGATAAATAAAGGATCATGGCCCGGATTGCGTGTGTCTGAATTATAAGAGGACACAGTGAGTTTTGAGATAACAAGCATGCCAATGGAATTTTGCTGAGCTTTTGGCCTGTATAAAGCACATTTTTGGCCTGTATACACACTGTTGGACTGCTAAAATTTTGTAACCTTGAAATGAGTTAGATTTCTGATTAGTAATACACTAACAAATTTATTGCAACTACATGTAAGCATGGGAAATTTTACCAAGACAATTAGAATCAAATTGGATTTCAAACCGCCAAGACTTCGGGAAATTGCTAGAATTTGAAAATTTATAATCTAAAAATAACTTTTGTATTTAATTTTATTTTTATGTTTGCATCTAAAAATGATTTATTTTAATTGAATTCTATTTTAATTTTATCATTCAACTCATTTTTACTCAAACGCATTTAAACACAACATTTTACATTCAATTGGATGGATTGGTTTTTTCTAATGAGTTGATCAAATCTGAGACGTAAACTTATTTTTGAATCGAATAACTTTTTATATCAAAATCGATTCAATGGGCATCCTAAACACCTTAGTCTATACCAATCAAGATTAGATTGGAATTGATAGGTTGAACCAAAAAAATGGGCACTGTGGATGATCGACTTTTTGCATCTTCTATTCATTTGTCTTTTTTTATTTTATTTTATTATTTTTTTTTATTTTAAGATTTTATTAGTCTCATGAGTTTCTTAACTTTATTTAATATTATTTAATTTTTTTTTTAGTTCTTTAAAAACTATCCCATTAGTCAATTTCGTTGTGTCGGTTAAAATTTGCCCAAAAATATGAACATATGTTTATGTGATAATTTATATTAATTTGTTTTGCAAAATGAACATGTAATGATTGGATGTTTGATATCCATGATATCCATATAAAGAAAGAACTGATATGTCACATAAATTGCAATGTCGAAAAATAGAATCTTGAATAATCACCCAAATTTTTTCTGAACTTTATGCTCTAAGGCTTGATCTTTTGGTCATGCAACATAATAAAGCAGTTCACTGAACGTCGCCGTCCACTGATCTGATTTAGGTAAACTAGAAGTTCTTGAAGGTGAGATCGTCTTTTCTGAGAAAGACGTATCAGACATCCATCCACATAACGATGATTCAATGGTTATCATCGTAAGATGTAATGATTGCGAGATTAAAATGGTCTTGATTGATCAAGGGAGCGAACATCCTTTACAAGGATGCATTTGAGAGGCTTTGCCTAAATTTAGATGACCTCAAGCCTTTCGAAGGATTGTTGGTGAAATTTTGGGGCGAGCAAGTGCAGGCAAAATATTATGTAACATTGAAGACCACCTTTGTAGCTGAAGGAAACACCAAGGGAATTAAGGTAAGATATCTAGTTATTCACGCGTCCTTCTTATATGACATGATTATAGGATGACCTGTTTTTAATCAGTTGGGAGCTGCTCTATCTATACTATATATTTGTACAAAATACCCATTCCCAGATGTGTGAGTTGGGGTTATCCAAAGAGATAAGGAGATCACCAATAAATACTACGTTGAGAGTCTAGAGTTGTAGAAGGCCATAATTATAGGCGTAAACGCAATTGACGTAAAGGTGAAGGTAAATCACTGAAGGAAGCTCTAATAGATAAAGACATGGCCACTCCAAATCGAGTAAGCACGAAGAACACTGGGAAGGATGTCAGGTCAAGTGATGGTTGTTAAGATATCTAGCCTTGTTTCGTTTAGTTTAGAATAGTTTTGTTTACTATTTTGTTTTATTTGGGAGAGTTACTACATCTGTCGTTTGTGAGGATCATTTGATGACATTCTTTTGTTTCTAGGAGCTCTTTTTTCCTTGCATTATAAAGTGGCACAACGAGGCTTTTCACTTTATTATATTTGGACTATGATTAATTTATTTGTAGGGAAGTTATGAGCAAAATGATCTTATCAGGATCGTCCCTAAAGAAAATTATACATGCTTGATTTCTATATGGGAATCCTTATTGTCCTGTAAGACTATTAAACATGTTGAATCCTCACCAAGGAGTCCTTGACGCCATTGAGGAGATTACATACACAATACTCACAAAGGAGTCTTTGTCGCCCCTCGTAACAGTCATAAATGTTGGATCCCTATATGGGAATTCTTGTTACCTTTGAGAATATTAAACATGGTGGATCCTTACGAAGGATATATTACCACCCTTGATCTGATTACATATAGTTAATAATCACGAAGGAGTCTTTGTCACCCATTGTGACGATCATAAACATTGTATCCCCATAATGGAATCCTTGTCATCCTTCGAGCGATATTGGTATTTCAGACGGAAGCCTTTGTTTCCAAAAATAACAACTAAGGTCACCGTATAAAGTAATCCATAAGATAAATTAAAAGCATACAAATAATTCATTCAATTAAAAGACCCATTGAGGTAAAAGGATTACAAAGTCGTTAAGAAAAGAAAATTACAAAATCCCTCCACTGAGCGTTGTCACAAAAAGGTTGCTAGAGGCACAAATAAATAATGCCTTAAGCTTACTGATCCTATAAAAAATCCCCAGAGTGAAGGGCATCTTTTGTCGCTCGGGAATCGTTCAAGGAAATTTCCACAATAGGCGAGACCTCTTAGTTGTCTACTAATTGGCCTTCACGGGCCACCTTGAACAAGTCTACTTGACTCAAATCTAACCTCGGGTAGAAAAAGGCTACATGTTTTTTCTCTTGCTCAAAGTATTGGTTAGAAGTATCAACCAAGTCATCTTTGAGGGAAGATATTTCCTTCTCTAGTTTTTTAATAGAACTGAGGGCCCTTTCCAGAGAACCCTTTGATTATGTAGCAACAATGGCATGTATTCGCGGCTCTACCACCAACTTCCTAAGTAAGGGCTTCAAATCCTTTTTTTTCTTCATCAGGGTCCTCATTATTTACTAATGTTGAGTGATATTTCCTTGAGATGTGACAAGCTTTGAATTAAATTCATCAACAAATTGAGTATGCTTCTTCCGTTGGACCCATTTTATCAGAAGACCCTTTAATAGACGAGTTTCATCCATTTTTGATAGTTCAATGGATAACTTACTATGAAGACTTTGATAATGAGAGAGAAAATCTTCGAGAAAAGGGAGGTGAATCTTAGAAAACTTGATGGCATCAAAGAAGGCATCCTTCCACATGGAAGTAAGATGTCGAGAACCATCCTTAGCTAAGTGGGTCTCCCCTTCAGACCTACCATCTCTAATAACCACTAGATTTCCATTCTTTGGAGCTTGAGAATGAACTTCTCCTTGTTTTGGGATTTTAAGGGGGTGAGCATCATCTGTGGGATGGTCCTCACCACACCTTTTGTCCTCTACTGTCATTTGGCTTCCAAGGTAAGTTGGAGGGTTCACTAACAATTGGCGTTCGACTTTTTTTTTGGGCCAAGAATTCCTTTCTCTGAGCTAGATAAATTGAAAACATTTTTTCTGCATGAAAAGTCATAGAAATATATGAGTTAAGGGAAAATTTAAAATAACCTCAAGACACAGATATTTCCCAACCATAAGCTTACCTAAGTACTCATTATCATTTCCTTATTCCATAGTGATCGGCGTGCGAGAGCTCGTGAGTTTAAAGTCATCTAGTTCTTGAGCAACATCTTGCTCGCTTGGGGTAAGGTTGGCAAAATCAAAACCGGTTATGACTTTAGGGTCATTCCTTCAGGACTATGGGAAGCGAGGTGTGCTCGTCGCCCCAGTCATGAGCATTGAAGCACACTCCCACCCCTAACCCTCACAAATTTATCCTTCTAGTATATGTAGGGGTTAGAATGGGGATTTAACAACCTTCTTCCTGGGAGACCAAATAAGGTTAACCAACGACTTTTAGGGGCGAGCTTGATACCATAAAAGAGAATAATATCCTAATGGTAGGAGAGACCTCCAACTGCTGACATATAATTTTGAACACCCAAATTATACCCTAGACATTAAGCGTAACTTTAGAAGGGGCTACATTCGTAATCGTTATAAATTCAACTTTAAACGGCGTGAAAGGGATCAAGACCCTTAAATCATGAATAACAAGAAGGTGCAAGTAGAATTAGGGGTGGGTGAGCCATCCATAATGACCATATTGGCCATATCCTGCTCAGAGCTACGTTAAAAGAGCAGCCACTCCTTAAAATCTTCCCAAAATAAAAAATTACCACTGAGAAAGGAATTATTAAGAAAATAACAGAGTCATACCTGTTACCATAATTAAGAACTTGTGGAATAAATGTATTATTTTCCTGCAGGAACTGTTAGATGCATGAGTGAAGGTTTGGGGAAATGAAATGCAGAAAAAATCAAGGAAAATTGAAATCTATTTAATGCAACACACATTTATCTCTATTGATGTATGATTTTCCTCAACTGACTAGCATTTGATCTCCTTTAGCTGACTGACGTTCAAAATCCCTCAGTTTATATGTGTGTCACATCACTGACATTTAAAGACATGTCCCGAGTCTTCCCATGCATGAGGGACTCACCCAATGTATGTGGTTCATCAGTGTAAGAAAATGAGGATAAAGTAAACCACTTCGCCCTTTCCATGTCTTCATGCTTGAGGAACAATGTATTGATATATATGTAAGGGGCCATGAAAGGCAACATGGAAGGCGAATAATGCTTTGTCATTCTATAAAGTCCCCTTGGCCACCCGTCCAATAGATCAATCACTCGTTTATTAGATGTGTTGTCCCTGTATTGAATATGTCACATTTCTCTTAGAGGAGTCGCCCGAGGGGGAAAAGTGGGGAAATTATGTGT